TGCGGACACACACACACACACACACACACACACACACAGACAACCCCGTGACAATATGCGTTTTGTTTTGCTGTTACACAGCAAAAAACGCATAAAAATGCACATACCCTTGCGCAATAGTACGCAACGTTGCATCCTTGCAGAATGCCAGATAGCTAAACGTCAAACATTTGAGACTGTAAGGGAAGTACATTTCAGGATAGACCTTCGGTCTCCGGAAAACACTGGCAATAACGAGCTCTAACGGCTCGATGAGGCCAGCATCATCGACTGGTTCATATCCCTCATCCTCGAATGACAAATACAATTCCTTCAAATTGCTGAGACTCTGAAAGTGCTACGATAGCTTTGCTCTCCGGAAAGATCCACCTAAATGCAAAGACAGTCCCCTCACAAGAAGTCCTTGTCATCCACCAGATCGCCTGCACCATCAGCGCCGATCAACGATATTATCAAGATGCACCTGCATGCCGGATGCCAAAAACCCTAAGCTAAAAGCTTCCGGTCTGCATTCACTATGCCTGTAGTCCAGTGCGAATCTTCAATTTTTTCGAGGCGGGGCAGGAATTTAAGACTGCCTCCGCACCTCCTCTCCCCTCCCTTCACCCACCTTTAAGTTCCCGTACCAATTTCTATTTTTTTTTTTTCAATAAATCAGAGCATAAGTGGCTCCACCGCTGCTGCCGAAGATAAAACAAATGAACACGATTATATAAACTTCTTCAAGAGGTTGCCTTCTTTAATTTTTTTTCCTCTGAAGCCGCTGCCCAAGACAGGGACCGTGGCTTGCCTCATCCTACTCAGATTCGAAAACAGTGCAGCCACCGCACGATAAAGATCAGCAGAACAGCACCAATACCGATACTTACCTTCAGATATATAAGTTCGTTGCAAACAGTACGAAACACTACCTCCACCGACAAAATTCGCAAATTTCTTAAAGCGCAAATATGGGGAAGAGCGCGCTGTCGGAGGGAGTCGATATGAAGTTCGGTGAGAGTAAGACAGTACGGCGCTGCTCGAACAGCATCAATCCTAAATCAACAGGAGGAGCAGTGATAAACCAGCAAAAAGCCTGCCTATGACAGATACCGTAGCCGGTCCAACTATAGCAAAACAGAGCTCATTAAGTTAATTCAGTTTTCCTGAATTACAGACAAACGCCAGCCGATAAAAGGATGGCTGCCAGCAAACAAGATGAGTTGGAGTAAAATTAAACAAGGCTCGTAAAATCAACCGTAACTCGTTGAAGCCTAGAAAGAACGGGCGCTACGCATGCAAAACAATGAAGGCGCTTAGACTCGGGGCTGATCACTTGCACAAAAACAGCTCTCATGCACAATGGTTTGCGCAGCTCACATCCTGTTCGACAAAAATTTAACTGTTCAATTTTGAGCTCGCGCTTCCGAGAATCAACGAACCTGCTGCACCTCCATCACCCTGGCTGCTGGACACAGCAAGCTTAAACATCACACCTACAGCAACAACAGTTTTAGAAATCAGTTCATCGCTAGAACCAAGAATTAAATTTTCAAATTTAATCAATTCAGAAGCAAATTATCTGAAACTGAAACTCAGTGTCCCCAACAAAACATCACCTATACTGCCTCCTTCACAACGGAATTCTGGGACCACTATCCAAACACTGAGGTGGACATACGCTACTGCCTATGCTAATTGGGTCATCTCGTTATCAGCAAAGTAAGCCCTTCTTCCGGTACTATTTTTTATCACAAAACGAGCAAAATACCCGATATCCAGTGCTCCAAATGGTATGTATAGCAAATTCAGAGCGCGCTTCCACATCAACAACTTCCTGGCAGTGTTCATCGAAGTGAAATTCAACAGTCCCATGAAGCAATTCTGGACTTTTGGGAAGGTGTGCTCACTGTCGAATAAAACATCCACAAACGTTTGATCATCGCTT